TACTATAGTAGTTATTTAACTAAATTCCTTAATTATAGTTTATATTCAATGAAGTACCTATTTTAAATGTATATTTCAACATGAGTGGAAGATTGCACGCAATTGCTAGACACTTCTACAGTCAGGATACATAGCACAACACATTTCTGTCATTCTAAAAGTACTAGTGTTCCTTGGCAACTCCTGATCCACTTTGTCTCACTGAGACTGTATCTTTTTCTAGAAAGAAATTGAATTAATTAATGTAAAGTAAAAGATGTTATTATTGTCGTTGTTAAGTGCTGTTGAGTCACCTCCAACTTACAGTGACCCTATGTACAGCAGCTTTGAACCCTGCCCTCTCCTGAGCCAATCTCACTGACTCCAGCACACCCACCCATTGCCCCACGTACTTTATCACACCATCTCATCCAAAGTCTTCTCTCCTGGGCTGTCCCTGCACTCTTAGAAGCATGATGTCCTCTCAGGGCTGGATACTTATATTTAAACATTTCCATGAAAGAATATGATAGGATTTTTTTGTTTAGTGGTTTTTATTTGTTTTGGTTTTTTTGGTGTGTTTTTTTTTTTTAAACAAAACACTGAAACAAAGTATTGAAGAGCAATGGTGTCTCTCTGGAGACTAAGGTGCGTCTGATACACACCATGGTCTTTGAAATCACTTGTTATGCATCAGAGAGTTAGGCAGTGACCAAGGAGGATAGAAGGAGAATTGATGCCTTTGAGCTGTGGTACTGGAGAGGAATATTGAGAGCACCATGGACTGCTAGGAAAACAAACAGATTCATCCTAGAGAAGGTTAAACCTGGTGGCTTCTTGGAGGCAAGGATTCTGAGGCTTGGTCTAACATACCTTGGACATGTTGTAAGGAGAGACTGGTCTTTGGAGAGGGACATCATGCTTGGGAGGGTGGAGGGACAGCGCAGGAGAGGAAGGCCCTCTATGAGGTGGATTGATTCAGTGATTGGGGTAATTGGGATGGGAGTGTCAGGGACAGTGTTTTTGGCACAGGACAGAGCAGAGTTTAGGGCTGTTGTACATAGGGTTGCTATGAGTTGCAAGCGACCCGATGGCACATAACAACAACAACAACAAACAAAACAAAATATTTCCCTTCTTCCTTTTGGCCACTTATTATAT